AGCCAAATCGGAGGAGATGGCTGAAAAGTGCATTATGGACCATTAAACAATAGTTGATCAACATCAGACACAAACAAATGGCCCATAATCTACTGCCAAGGCCACGATTGGTTCCCAAGTGGTAGCCTGGCTGACTTCCAGTCAGGAGAGCGCAGGGCTTGATAGCAGGTCCTATAGGTCATAAAACTCCTGCTCCAGGTCATATCTCAGCAGCCAACTGGAGAAGATTCCAGCACCCAGGCAGAGCTCACATTCTTCCACATGACTCACTCTACAGGACTGGATTTGGGTTCTCTCACCATCTGGTCTCTGAGACCTTGACCCAACATCATGTGGAGAGTTCCTGCCTGCCTGAGAGATCCTGTGTTGGAAGAGGGAAGCCACACGTGCCTGTGTGGGTAGAGGGTAGGCTGGCTCACAGCGCCTGAAGAGAACGTCTGCGAGGAGGCATTCCCTGACTCCACAAAGGCCTCATCCCCGCCCTGCCCCAAATACCTTGGCTGAAGCTCGTCTTCCTAGAGCATACTTTAGCTTAGAGCTTTAACCAGTGTTAAAACACAAGTACCTTCAAAGGGAAGATAAACCCGTATCCTGGCAAGTCATGCACACTCTACTATAGAGTCAAATTCAATCTTTTGATAAGAGCTTTCAGCAATGATATCCTGAGGAGGAAGCAAGAGAGAATAAAGAATAAAGAATATAGTAATAACTATGGTATACATGGTATCAGACGGGTACTAGACCTATCAGGGGCGTCACTTCATAAGGTATATAAATGTCTAACCACTATGCTGTACACCTGAAATATAATATTGTATATAAATTATAATTGAACATTTTTTTAATTTTTAAAGGAGTAATGAAGAATTAAAAAAAAAAAAAGACCCTAGAGCTGAGTTTTCGAAGGCTAGAAGGGTAGCCTATGAGACTTTAACATCTAATATCATTATTTGTCTATGGCCATAAGCAGATTTAGTCACACTGGTAAAAGTCCCCAACTTGGAGTCAAAAGGCAGGAGTCCAGGTTCCAACTTTCCCACACACAAGCTGTGTGATCTTGGGCAAGTGACTTAACCTCTCTGAACCTCTATTTCTTCATCTAAAAAGTAACAGTGATGCCATACCCATTCCAGGGGTGCTGTGAGAATTACATCAACTGAAGTGTGTGGAAGGTCTGCCCGTCTATAAATATTATTGTCCTTGGTCTGTGCCACCACGTTCTAGAAATTGTACAACTACTGAGCTACATCTGTGAATGGCTACTGGAGCTGCATCAATCCACAGATCCAGAGTGAGTCCAGCCAAGGCCAGCCAAAGCCAGGCTAGATCAGCCAACCCTTAGTCAACCCACCAACACGTGAAGTTTAATAAGTGATTGTTGTTTAAGCTATTGAGTGTGAGGGTCATAGTATCTAGCAATGGTTTAAACAATGTAACAAAGTTAGGATCCTGACATTTAAAGTTTTAGGGCCATGTTCAATAAAAATTATTCTAAAATATATCTGAAACTTATCTGCTTTCTCAAGCAAAATAAAGAGAATGTAATTCAGTCTTCACCGGGTCATTCATGCTTATCACAGTGAAAGCCAGTAAATGTGCTGTAAGTTAGTGATACTCTCAGGGGCTACGTACAAAACAAAGGCTCCAGAAATCATTCCAGTCTGCTGTTCTGTTTTGATCTCAGGACTATTCCCCAGTTCTTTTCAATTTGCCTTGTAACAAATTTTGGGGCTTTTTTTTGTTGCTGTCATTCTGTGTATCTTAAGCAGCAGCCTCACACCAAATATCCAATGTGCTACAGTGAGTTCATCAGCCTTCAAGAAACCTATCTAAGCCTGTTAGAATGGTGTCCAGAGCAGAGTTACTAGGCTTGGAGTAAAGGCCTGAGCTTGTTTTCTGCACATGAAAAGCATGTGCTTTAGTGCTCAGATCTCTACCATCAATTTTGGCTCCTTTGCTGCTTTTTCGCTCGCTCACTGGTCCTCCTCTGGGACCTGGCAGTGGAGGTTGCCAGGGAAGGAGCGTCTGACCCAGGTAAGCCAGTGCTGTTGGAACGCAGCCTTTCCTGCAGAGAGCGAAAGTAAGCACCAGCTTCCAGCCTGGAAGAGCTCTTCTCCAGCACAGCTCCTCTCTGGGGAATTGAGCGTGTGTTGCCCGGGCCACCCGTGTGTCAACAGCAAGGGACCACAGGTTCCCCAGAGCACAGGCAGCATCCTACTTGTTCTGTGTCCCCTGTAGCACTTGGCACACAGTAGGCACTCACTAAGGTGTGATGGGTGAAGTGCAAAGATCTTCCTGGTGGCCCTCGTTTCTATGTGCACAGGGCTTGTCTTCAGAAGATTAAGAATCTAAAAGCTTGAATATAGAATATTTCATGTCCGACTGGAAAACATTTTTGAAGAATTAAAGGAGCAGTTCCTGTTTCAAGGCATAAGTTTATTTCTAAATTGTGCTATCAGGAAGCCCTGGTGACTAAATAAAGGGGACAAAGCAAGTGACTCCCCAAAAGAAAGCAGAGATTTTTTTTTCTCCCTGTTGATTCCCCCAGCTCTACCTTATTGTTTTACCAAACGTCTAAACCACATTCCCAGCCAGAAGATCTGGACCTTGAAACTCATGAGGAAGTGCCTATGGATAGTGTGGCCTGGCTAATCCACGTGCACACCTGCCTCCCTTCCCCTGCCCCCCAGAGGCTGATGCCCAGGACGGCATCAAGGAGCTTCTCTGCCTGGGCTTCAGGTTGGCCTTGACCCTGGCGGGGGTGGGAAGGGGGTTACTACCAAGAGGTGGCTGGGGCAGAGGAAAGAGAAGTCGGGGTATTTCTTCTCCACTTTCTCCCCTTTTTAGGTCCCTCTGGGACCACAACTCCTGTTCAGTGACCTTTCCACCAAGGTCCTACATCTTCCTGGGACCCATTTTCCCATTTCCTCCTCTTGCCTGCTCAAGCACAGGGGTGGGAAAAGCTTACCACAGTTGTTAATTTCTCAAAATTCCTTGTTGGTTCCCTTAATCCTACCCACAACCTCTGAAACTGGTCCCTTCCTTCAAGTATTTCATCAGAACTATTAGAGTTGCTTCTTTTGCCTGGTGTTACAATCTGCATGATGTCTCACTTAAGGGATGTCTGGTCCTGGCTGGGTAGCTCATTTGGTTAGTGGGTTTGATTCCCAGTCAGGGCACATACAAGACTCAACCAATGAGGGCATGGACGGGTGGAACAACAAATCCATGTTTTCTCTCTCTTCCCCTCTGTCTCTAAAATTAATAACAATTTTAAAAAGATGTCTAAGCTGTGCCAGGGCTCCCTCTAGGGCAAGGAGTTCAAAGAAAATTGGAGGTGTTTTTCTCTCTAGCTTTCAGAACTCATTAGCTATTTTGGCACTATCTAAATTAAGTGATACAAAATGATGGCATACCCCAATCTACAGATGGGAAAAGTCTGATTTCTTCATTCACTCATCCAGTCACCGACTATTTATTGAACACCTACTATGTGCCAGGCACTGTTCTGACCCTGGGAAAATGATGATAATGTACTAGACAGACACCCTGCCCATGTGGTGCTTACAGCCTAATGCCAACTACCCCCCAGAAGTCAGAGAGCCCACCAGAGGCAGGGCTAGAACCAGGGGACTGAGTTTCCTTAAGTTCTGAGCCTTCAGCAGATTCTCAAAGGAATCTGTGGCCCGAACAAGGTTAAGAGCTACCAAGTTAGACCAAATTAACTATCAAACTTCTCCCTTGAATATTGAATATCTCCCTCCCTCCCAGAAGAAGCTTGGTGCTATCAGCTTGCACTTGTGGGGAGCATGTTGGCACACCTGTGGTGGCACAAGTACCCGCCTTTCCTTCCCCCTCCCCCCCCCAATATTCTCCACAAATCCCCTACCCCCTCCTTGAGTTCCTTACACTTCTATAATTAGCCTTGATTCCGTCTCTAAGTCCTTCCCTCAGGGCCCACAAACGTTGGCAGCACATCATGTTGATGAGCTGTTTTTATGAATGGGCATGGGTTTGGGACTGAATTCAGAGCTATGCCTTCTCCGAGAGCCTGTCTTTCCAGCGAAGGCAGTGAGAGTCATTTCCAGGGAGAGCCATGGGTGACTGAGGTGAACTGGGAGGGGCTTTCAGCCTCCCTGAAACCCTCTGAAAATATGAGTTTGCTGGGAAAGGTCTAAATAGGCCATGCTGGTAACCCGATACTTCCCCTACTCTGGGTCAGACAGGACAAGGGCAATAGAAAAGGTTGCCAGGCTGCCAGCAAAAGCCCCCCTGCCTTCCTCTCCCGACACTGCGCCCCGCAGACAGCCAGCTCCAGGCCTGGCTATCACTCTGGAGCCCCTCCACTTCCCCCCAGAAAGCCCCCTTCTCCGAGCTGCCTCATCTAAGGCTGAAGAGAAGGTCCACCCCGAGGAGAAAAGACAAGAGAAAAGCAGACAGGTCTGGAGAAATGGACCTAGCCCTGAGGCTGCATGGGGGCCCCTAGCTCCCCAGAAAACCAGCAGGACTTTCTTTCCCTTTGGTGGGATGGTCCTGGCAGCTGGCAACACCGCCCGAGCGGGGACAGAGGCATGTTCATTCCACATCACCCCTTTTGAGTCAAGCCCCCTTCCGAAGGGGCCAGGGATGTATTTATAGAGACATCTGGGGCTCCCTTCTCTCTCCTTTGCACTTCTTTTTATCTCTTTTAAGCTCCCCACAATTCCCAACCAAAATGAAATCATGCAGCAAATGGGGAGACATAGGGGGAAGGCAGAAACAATTTTTAAAAGGTCTCTTGGCTTTGAGCACTGGGTGAGGGCTGTTTGCAACAAGGACCGAAAGGGCTTGCAAGACTAGCTGGAATGACAGAAAGCTGCTGGGTGGCCGATTCCCTTCCAGCCTCCCTCCACCAAGAGTAGAATGGGAAAAAATATCAGGACAGGTTGCAAAATAATCTGCCTTCCTCCCCCTGCCCCAAACAGATGGAAGAAGAGAGGAAAGCCGTGGTCATCATTTACCTGCTGAAATTGGGAGGACACAGTTGATGAAAGTAGGCTGAGACACAACAAAGCGGAAGAAAAGCTGAAGGTAAATTCCCAGAGTCGTTGGATTCAGGACCACCATGCTGCCTGGGGTCTGGAAAGTGTCAAGTTCTCAGCAGCCTTGCGTCCAGGCTGCCCTGGAGCCTTGCTTCTCTCTGCTTTTGTCTTCCCCACTGCTGTTCGCCTCTCTCTCTCTCTCCCTCTCTCTCTCTTTCTCCTTTCCCTGTGCCTCTATGAAGAAAGAATGCCAACCATTTCCCATTAAACCTTCTCCATACTACTCAGGGTTATATTTATCTCAAGCACTGGATAAAATACCCACATTAAAATTAAGATGTCAGAATTTTCTTTTTTGGAGACTGAGATTAGTGGCTATTGAAGAGGTGATGAAAAGGCAGCTATGTCTCAATGCTTGGTAGAAGCAGTCCTCCAGGGCAGATAGATTTCCCCATCGATTAGCGTCTACCTAGGTGTCCTGCAGCATCACAGATTCCGATTCAAGCTGAATTTCCATGGACACGAATCCTTCTGCTGTCAGTCTGTGACATTTTTACCCCCTGGGAGATACATGTAAAGTTGACCTTGGATTTTTTTTTTCCTTTAATCATCTAGTAAAAAGTGGGGGCAGGGGTGTTATATTTTCCAAAACTGCTTTCTCTGTGAAAAGTGTTTATTCTTTCTCCAGAAGCTACAAACTTTATCCCATGTAAAGCAAAATAAATGTAAAGAGTCAATGCATTAGAAAGAGAATGATTATTTTTCAAACTATATTAGAACACAAACAACCAAAGGTGAGAAGATATTTGCAAACAATACTTCGATAAGGGGCCAATATGCAAAATATAAAGAACCCATACAACTCAACAACAAAAAAAATCAGTCTAATTAAAAATGGGCAGAAAACCTGAACACTTTTTCCAAGAGGACAAACAAATAGCCAACACATATATGAAAAGATGCTCAATTCAGCAGCCATAAGGGATATGCAAATCCATAAGGAGATACCACCTCACACCTGTTAGGATGGATATTATCAATAAGACAAGAAATAAGTGTTGGAGAGGGTGTGGAGAAAAAGGAACCTTGTGTACATTGCTGGTGGGAATTACAGCCACTATGGAAAAAAGTACGGAGGTTCCTCAAAAAATTAAGAATAGAGCTGCCAAATGACCCAGCAATCTCTGTTCTGGGTATCTATCCCAAAAATTTGAAAGCATTTATTTGGAAAGATATATGTTCATTGCAGTATTATTTACAGTATCCAAAACATGGAAACAACCTAAGTGCCATTCAATGGACAACTGGATAAAGAAGATGTGGTACATATACACAATAGAATACTACTCAGCTATAAAAAATGATGACATACTGCCATTTGTGGCAACATGAACGGATTTTGAGAGCATCATGTTAAATGAAATACATCAGATGGAAAAGGACAAGAACCATATGATTTCACTCATATATGAGATATACAACAGAAAGCAACAAATGAACAAACAAAACAAACAGCCCTGGCTGGTGTGGCTCAGTGGATTGAGTGTCAGCCTGTGAACCAAAGAGTTGTGGTTCGACTCCCAGTCAGAGCACATACCTGGGTTGCAGGCCAGATCCCCAGTAGGGGGCATGTGAGAAGCAACCACATATTGATGTTTCTCTCTCCCTCTTTCTCCCTCCTTTCCCCTCTGTCTAAGAATAAGTAAATAAAATCTCTAAAAATAAAACAAACTCATATAGACACAGACTAGACTTTGGGTGGTAAGCACACAATGCAACAAATAGATGTATTATAGAAATGTACACCTGAAACTTGACCTTTAGCTAGACAAAATTCTTCACATAAAAAGCATTGCACCCTTAAATGAATGCCTCTTATGAGTTTATAAAACCCATTATAGAGATCCTTAGAGTACTAAAACAATTAAATAATAATCCACAGAGTTGTCCATTTTGCTTTAATTTACCTACGTTCCAGAGCCTCGTGGGACTTAATTCAGAAGTGGTTTGGTTCTTACTGGACTCTGGGGCCCAGCGACTGATCCTCACTCTGGGGGGAGGCAGAGTGGGGCAAAGGCACGACACTAGGCGATAGTCCACAGCACCAGCACCAGACGTCTTGACTCCAGCTCTGCTGGAACAGTGAACACATCGTTGGCTCTCTCTCTACCTCAGCCTTCCCATCATAAAATGGAGGCATAGTCCTTTTAAAGGTTTGTTGGAAAGGCTAAATATGGTCACATGAGATGAATCATATGTGAATATAAATTTGTGCATAGAGACGGCAAAATATAAAACCCAGGGAGCCATAACAGGTAGGGTGCAAAGGTGGCCAGCAAAAGCCTCTCCCACCCCTGTATGCATATATCGCTTTCCCAACAAGAGGTGGAGTCTATTTCCCTTCCCGCTGAACGTGGACTGGCCTTGTGACTGGCTTTGATGAGCAGAGTCTGGCTAAAGTGACACATAATAGTCCTGACAACTTCTGCTTTTGCCTTTTTCTTGGAAGGCAACAGCTACATAAAAACGTCTGGACTATTAAATAGGCCACAGAGACGGGAAGCAGCCAGCCCCCTGACATCTGGCTATCTCAGATGAGGCACTAGAGATTAGAGTTAGGCCAGTTTGGATCACCTAGCCTCATTCAGGTCTCCAGAGGATGGCAGTCACAGAAATGACCCCAGGTGAGACCAGCTGGAGAACTGCCCAGATGAACCCAGCCCAGATAACAGATTCATGAGCAAATAAAATGGCTGTTGTTTCTGCCTTCAGTGTCCTGAAGCCACCAGGTTGTAGGATGATTTGTTTTGCAGCAATGGCTAGCTGATACAGGATTTATTAGAAAAGCTTTTGAAAGCATAAAGAATATACTTGGCTTACATTTAAAATAAACAAGAGGGGGTACCCTCTTTTAGCTGTTTCCAAATGTTTAACAGAAGGATCTGTGATTGTTGGCTAAACTCAATCAGGAAATTCTGAGCTTGGTCTTGTTAACACTTGGAAACTACAGCACCAGCAGTGGGCTTTTGGTAGCTTGAAGGAAGATGTAGTCTACCTGGGAGGAAGGTAACTCTTGAGTAACTTGGGGCCAGAATCTGGACTTTCACCATCCAGCTCAGATCTCTCCTCAGCGCAGTCAGAGTGATTTATTGCTTTCCTCAGCATATACACTTCACCACCGAGCATGAAGTTGCCACAGATGATATCAATATTGTCCTGCTTGTGACATCTGCCGGCATTGTTTTTGAATTTCTTTTAAACCATCTTGTGTTGCTATTTATCCTGTGTTAACCTTCCTGAAGACGGGAGACTGTTCCATGGCCCTGTGTACCCCCACGGCCCCAGGACAATCAGTCCCTGTCACGTAATAATAGATCCTCAGTGATGTCAGTTCAAGTTGATCAAATCATACCATTGTAGGATGAAAAGAAAGCAGGAAAAGTGGCATCACTTTTACGTTCCAGCCACACTGAACAACTTGCATTTCTCAGCAACTCTTTGTGCCTTTGCATATGCAGCTGAGGGGCACAGGCCTGGTACAAGGGAGGGATCTCTTGAGTCTTGTGAGAGAGTGAGGGTCTATGGGCCTGAATACTGGAGGCCGAATGTACACGTTCAGGCCACTAGGGGGCAAGTCACTGCTGATTAAAGTTACTGCAAGAACCTCTGCTCTCTGGGGAGGCCACAGCACAGAGGTATTTTTAAGCCCCCCACACCTATTAAATAGTTCTCTTATAAGTTTCCATTTCCCATGTACCATGTATTTTAAGAGCTTATTTTTTATGAGGTTACCCTAATTGAGGCAGAAATTATCTTTTCTTCAAACCCTCTTGAAAGAGCTCTGTATCTTTCATAATCTAATAACACAGGCTATTAGATTTTTCCAGAAGGAAATTATTGTATATTTGTAAAAGGCTTATACCAGTAAGTCCAATCGATGCTAGAGCCTTCCTTCTCAGGCCTTGTAGGTGCGGATGTAAACTGAAGAACATCCCCTGGGGGTGTCTATTAACGCGTAACATGCACCTGCTGTTCCACTCAGAAATTCTACGGACATACTCATTCAACTGCTCAGTCGTTTAGGTGCGAGGATGTTCATGATGGCTTCAGATGTGAATATGAATTCCCTCTCCATGAATATGAGATCATTAAATAAATCACAGAACCTCCATTCAATCGAAGATCATACAATCATGACCCAGAATAAGTAATCTCGATATGGAAAAGTTGGTCATCCGCATGCAAAACAAACAAAAGTGAACCTTAACCCTTACCTTGCCCCATACATAAAAATTAGCTCCAAGTATCTACCTAAAAGTAAGACCAAAATGTAAAAGCTAAAACTATTAAGCTTCTAGAAGAAAACAGGAGAAAATTCTAGTGACCTTGGATTAGACAAAAATTTCTTTTTGTATTAAGTAAAGTTTAAATAAAAATTGTATATATTTAAGTTGTACCACATGATATTTTGATATACATTGTGAAACGATTACCACAGTCAAGCTAATTAACATATTCATCATTCATAGAGTCACTTTCTTCTTTTGTAGTGAAAACATCTAAGAGATAATCTCCTAGAAAATTTCAAGCATACAACACAATGCGGTTAACTATAGTCACCAGGCTGTGCATTAGATCTCTAGAATCTACTCATCTTATATAACTTAAACTTCATGCCCTTTGAGCAACATCTTCCCATTTCCCCTAACCCTCCATCCCTGATAACCATCATTTTACTTTCTGCTTCTATGAAAAAAGAAAATGTCTTAAGTAAGACACAAAAGTCACAAGTCATAAAAGAAAAAAAAAAGTTAAACTAGCCTCCATCAAAATTTTAAAACTTCTCCTCTGCAAAAGACAATGTTAAATTGAATAAACAAGCCAAAGACTGGGAGAAAACTTTTGCAAAACATGCATAGTAAGGGACTTGCATTCAAAATATATGAAGAACTTCTATAACTCAATATAATAAAACCAACACCCAGTTAAAAGAAATGGGCAAGAGTGTGAATAAATACTTTACCAAAGCAAATATGTGAATGGCAAAAAAGCACATGAAAAGTTACTCAGCATCATTAGTCATTAGGAAAATGCAAATTAAAACTATAATGAAACACAACTACACACTACTAGAATGGCTAAAATTTAAAAGACTAGCAATTCCAAGTATTAAAACTAGAAACAACCC